CTCTACAATAAATACAAAAATTAGTGGGGCGTGGTTGGGGGCGCCTATAACCCCAGCTACTCGGGAGGCTGAGGCAGGAGAAACGCTTGAATCCAGGAGGCGGAGGTTGCAGTGGGCCGAGATCGCGCCATTGCACTACAGGTTGGGCGACAAGAGTGAGACTCCGTCTCAAAAAATGAATAATAACTTCCCTGTGGCTTTGGGTCTTTCTGAAGATTTCTGTGTCTCATAAAACTTATATTAAATAAATTTGTTACACTCTTCTCTTCTTGCTCTGTGTTTCCTTATAGGGGTATCAGCCATGAAACTTGCAATGGGTAAGGAGAAGATGCTATTTTTTCTCACTGCTATGGTCTGAATACTTGCATCCTCCTAAAATTCATATGTAGAAAGCTAATCTCCACTGCAACAATAATAAGAGCAGGGCCTTTAGTAGGTGACTAGGTCATGAAGGCAGAACCCTAACGAATGGGATTATACCCTTGTAAAAAGAAACTCAGGCTGGGTGCGGTGGCTGACGCCTGTAATCCCAACACTTTGGGAGGCCAAGGCAGGCGGATCAGGAGGTCAGGAGATTGAGAGCATCCTGGCTAACACGGTGAAACCCCGTCTCTACTAAAAATACAAAAAAATTAGCCGGGAGTGGTGGTGTGTGCCTGTAGTCCCAGCTACTCGGGAGGCTGAGGCAGGAGAATGGCGTGAACCCGGGAGGCGGAGCTGCAGTGAGCCAAGATTGCGCCACTGCACTCCAGCCTGGGTGACAGAGCGAGAGCTCAAAAAAAAAAAAAAAAAAAAAAAAAGAAACTCAAAGGAGATTGTTTGCCCCTTCCACTATGTGAAGAAACATAGAAGACACCATCTATGAGAAATGGGACTTCACAAGACACAGAATCTTCTGGCTTCTTGATCTGGACCTTTCCAGCCTCTAGAACTGTGAGTAAAAATTTTGATTGTTTATAAATTGCCCAGTCTAAAATATTTTGCCCCAAATTTACTAAGTAAGACAATTCTCTACAATATAAAGGAAAAAAATTATTGGTAGATTGACTACAAAAATTTTTTTGAATTGCACACCATAAATACACAAATGTGAATTAGTACAATCTTTTATGGAGAAAAGTACAATACTTTAAAACACCCTCACAAATGTATATATTTTTTAATTTATCAGTACTACTTCTATGAAATTATTCTAAATGAATAATAAATGACATGCTTCATAGATTTTTTTTTTTAAATTGTCACATTTTAACAATGGAGGAAACATTAAAAGGTGGGAAAGAAGAAAGGAACCAGGGGAGAAAAGGAAGGAGAAAGACTAAAGAAGAAAAGGCAGGGCAGGGGAGGGCAGTGAAGAGAAGGGAAGGGAAGAAAAAGAGAAAGGGGTGTCAATGTTCAACAATAAGCATTTAGATGAATTGTATGATTCATTTCACAGTGTATTTATTAAATTTCACCATTAAACTGTGTTATAAATGAATATTTAATAATATTGAAAAATATTCATGATCTGCTATTACCTTTAAAAATCAAGTTACAAAACCATTAAAGATATGATACTATTTTATTTATGTATAAAGCTTTTATTAAAGGCAAAGTACACATAATGAGTGGTGGAAGAATAGTTAATTTTTCATTTTTTTCTTTTGTTTTCTAGACAAAATATAAATATTTTAAAAGATATTTATAAAATATAATGTGAGCATTATCTAAAGACAAAAGGCTAGTAGCACATCCAATTGTTTAATTTCATCAACAATGTCAGTTCTGATTTCTTTAAAACAGAAAGTTCTACTTTTCCTATAAAATATGACATGGAGAACATAATTAGCTGAATTAAAATGACCACATTTAGCTAACGGTTTATATTATGCTTAAAGATAGAATTGCCTAACACTCATCTGAAAGCAGCACCTTTAAATGTAAAACAAAAAACTACCCATTCTAAAATGAATGTACAATGGAAAGCCCAGACTGTTCATTTCCTGAATTAATCACAAGTAATGGAAAACGACTCTAACTCCGAACTACATATACTCAATTTTTTCAAGAATTTTTTCATTCCCAGGTGAAATCAAGGGAAGAATTTTTCTTCTTAATGTGCTACTTGAAGTACCATGGAGCTAAGTGTCCCAGATGAAGATATATACATCAAATGTTAAAGATGATTATAACTCATTAAATCTAATTCCCACCTAAACGTAAGTGGAATGAATTAAGACATGGAACTAAGTTTTTCACTTTCTAAACTTAATGAACACATATGCATTTACATTAAGCATCAATATAAAGCAACAATGTCTTGCTTAATTATTTTTCTTATAATAAATGTTAGCACGTTGTTGAGAATTCATTATAGTCCATAATTCTTTTAAGAACAAAAATGCAGTTTTGCATGGCTTTAGATTATAAGAAAACTATGGTCATTTCCAGTTTTCTTCCACGTAAACTATTAACAACTTTTACGAGTTTAATTGACCAAATATACAAATCCAGATTTGTTCGGTTTTGCTTTCTTACACATGTCATTGCACTTATGCTTCTAATTATTACAACATTTGCCATTTAAATACATTTTTGTCTCCCCTACTCCCAAGTTTAAAATCTATAAAAGCAAGGAATTTGTCTTGCTCATTTTGCATTTCCGAGAATATCTACTTTTAAACATAAAACTTTTCCTACAAGTGCTGAATGAAATAGAATTTAGTTCACTTGGGTAAAAGCTGATATATAAAACCCATAGTCAAAAACAACATTGGAGACACAAAAGTCCACCGTTTATTAATCTCATCATCTTTAGCAAAACACAACCTCTTTGGAATTAAAGTTTATAATGTGTAACATATGTGTATAGTCACCTATATCCTGCCCCCACTGGTGCCTCAACTAATTAAAGCATGTAAAAAGCACTCAGGAAGCTATAAATCACTGTGCAATTACAAGAAATTGTTTGGTGCTAACTCCATACATTATTGGTCTTTTTTTTTTTTTTTTTTTTTTTTTTTTGAGGCAGGGTATCACTGTCGCCCATACCGGAGTGCAGTGGCACAATCTCACCTCACTGCAGCCTCAACCTTCAGGGCTCAAATGATCCTCTCACCTCAGCCTCCCGAGTAGCTGGGACTATAGGTCTATGCTGCCACATCCAGGTAATTTTGGTATTTTTTGTAGAGACGGGATTTTGCCATGTTTCCCAGGCTGGTCTCAAACTCCTGCGCTCAGGCAATAGGCCTGCCTCAGCATCCCCAAGTGCTGAGACTAAAGGCATAAGCCACCACACCCGGCCTATAATTGATTTGTAGTAAAAACTAAATTAATACCTGGTTTCTAGGAATTTATTTATCAATCTAAACTAAAAATTTTAGGCCAAATAGATATGTCTGTCATTGAGAATGTGAAATTAAAAACTATTAATGAAAAGTGGATATTTCTTGTATAAAGAGCAGAAATTCTAATATTAGACAATTAGGCTCACATTTTTACTTCATCATTTACTAGTCATGTCAATTAATCTCCCTGAGCATTACCTTCCTGAATTGCATATAGGAGATGCCAACAATAATAAGATCCTTCTCTGAGTTTTCGGGAAGATTATATATGTTGTATTTGAAAGTGTTCCAATGATTGTAAGACAATATAGAAAATTTGCTATTATTATTGTCTTACATAGTTATTATTATAGATTATTAGTATTCGTAATAAGCTTCACTAATACGATTAGTATCCACAAGGCACTAGAATGTTGTATGTGTATTTTTATGAATCTTCAAAACAACTGTAAAAGAGGAATATTATTCTCATTCTACACAGAAAAAAAACTGAAGCTCAAACACTTAAGAAACTTCTCCAAGTATACATAAATGTAGCAGTGGCAGAATTTGACCCAAGGACTGTGGATACCAAAGCCTATGTTCCTTCCACCACATCAGCCTTTCAAAATAGATTTCAGGTATCTTCCACTGAATATCAGTAAAATTCAGCATGAAAAAGCTAACCAGTTGTCTATTTCCTATTATATTAAATGGAAAATATTAGTGTGTGTTACACATTAACCTCAATATGCAATTGATTTCATAAAACACGTTAAAACTCTAAGTGGCAAACTACCTTATTTGGATATTAGTTATTAGTAAACTGCTTAAAACATTGCTTTCTGATCACCAAATAATATGGTAGTTGACAGTTGACCTGGATGCAGGAGCATGGGCTCTCTTAGCCTCCACTACACTCAAGCACGTGACTTTTGTCAGTCTGAAACATGCCTTTTGGTAAGGCTACCCCTGATTCTAACATTCTAACAACTATATCCAGCTCTTTCTCATGAACCATTTAATTTAAAATGATGTAATGGGTTTAGATAAATAACATTTTTCTAATATAAATAATTATCTGAATAACTTACATGAGAAATATGTACAAAGTCCACAATATCTGGTAATATATTAGCCATACACTAACCATAGAGTAGTTTGCGGGATGTTTTTATAGGGGGTGCCTTTTATGTCCTACATTAGTAAATAAAAAGTTGGTAGTATCAAATACAGCACCAATAGAAAACTGAATGAACTTATTTGCATTTAAACACAAGAGCAGATTGAAAAAATTTAGATTGCTATCTCTTCAAAAACAAAGTATATTATGTTTAAAATGCATATACACTATAGAATCCTTTATTATTCAAGGCATGTTTTTAGAAACAATCCATAGTTAATAGATAAAAATATACAGAACATATAGCAGTCACTTTATCACATACATTTTATGATTATTTAAAATGCTATAAAGTTATTAGATTAATTGCTTATTTTAAAAGGAAAATAAGTAAACAACTGCCCCCAAAAGACAAACAACTCAATAAAATTTCCTTTTTGAAACAGAATACTCAATTGGACATATTGTAAGCATACTTTAAACTTTAATTTCCTATACCTAATTATAATTAAAAACTTGGTTGAATCTCTGCCTTTATCCTGGATAAAATATCTAAGATAAAAACTTACCTTGTTTTTAATCGTTTTCTTTATAGAAACTAAATTTCATTTAAATTATCCTTTTCTTCCCTCGGCCTCCTAAAAAACAAAAAAGGAAAAAATTGCTTATTTAACAAAGGTGAAATATTTTAGCCAAAAGAAAACAAGTCTGCGGCTTTAATTTAATCATCTCTTTTAACTATGCTGCGGAATCAGACCACCTGAAAACATCACATATATACATATATATAGCTTTGACAATATAAACGAAATCTGGGGACAGATTCGAAGGCTTGAGAGATCATCAGATGGAAAAATAGAGTCACAAATAGGATTTCGGTCCAGGAGGAACCTAAGTATGTGACAACTTTTCAGCATATCAGGAGCTACAATTAAGAAAAGAAAGCTATACCCTACAGCAGTGACGACACTTATTTGGTTCTCCTCTTTTCAGTGAACGAAAATGTAACGTCGTCTGGGTTAAATGTAAAATATTAAAGCTAAAAGCACCCTTCCACAACTGTAAAATTAACACACGATAGTAATCAATTCAATTCGATCAAACATAAGATTCTTTAATCTATTGGGAAGAGTGGCAAAACTAGAAATATCTGTATTTTTAATGTACTATATTTCATTATTGAAGCTGTGCCAAATATAATCTTTGCCTCTGGCCTTAAGTACTATTTTAACATTGCTGTTTAATTGCTGCAGTCTTCTAAACTTTTATAATAATCATATCAAAAACAGCCAATATGTTTTATAATTTCATTTTTAATAGAGTGATCAAGGCTTTGCTCCTTGATGCTTAATGTTTGCACACTGACTACAGAAAAAAAATCAGCATAGTGCCATCTCTTGAATATTCAGGAACATAGTATTTGCTATGGTTTGAATATTTCTCCCCTCCAAAACTCATGTTGAAATTTAATCCCCAGTATGGCGTACTGAGAATTGGTGCCTTTAAGAGTTGAAATTTAATCCCCAGTATGGCGTACTGAGACACGGTGCCTTTGAGAGTTGAAATTTTATCCCCAGTATGGCGTACTGAGACACGGTGCCTTTGAGAGTTGAAATTTAATCCCCAGTATGGCGTACTGAGACATGGTGCCTTTAGGAGGTGATTGGGTCATCAGGGCTGCACACTTAGGAATAGATTAATCCATTCATAAATTCATGGATTAATGGATTATCATAGGAGTGCACCTGCTGGCTTTATAAAAAGAGAAAGAGAGACCTGGGCTAGCATGTCTCCTCATGGAATGCCCTGCACAGGCTCAGGACTGTCACCAGAAGCAGCCCCTTAACTGTGGTCTTCTCAGCCTCCACAACTTGAAGAAATAAATTCCTTCTCTTTAAAAATTACCCAGTTTCAGGTACTCTGTTACAAACAACAGAAAACAAGCTAAGACAGTATCCATTGCCCCACCTTACAGAGATTTATCATTTAATTTGACCAAATTATCTGCACTTTGAACTTAAAAATGTATATGTTTTTAAATATTCATTTGAAAATATTCTATTATTAAAATTATACTCTCAAAACTGGCAGTGCTGCTTATATAATTTATATTCTAGAAGAATTTAGTGTAGCTGAGATTCATCTTGGGTTCAAGCAATTCTCCTACCTCAGCCTCCCAAGTAGTCAGTATTACAGGCATCTCCCACCACGCCCAGCTAATTTTTGCATTTTTAGCAGAGATGGGGTTTCACCATGTTAGCCAGGCTGGTTTGAACTCCTGACCTCAGGTGATCTGACAGCCTCGGCCTCCCAAAGTGCTGGGATTACAGGCATAAGTCACTGCTCCCGGCCAATTTTTATTTTCTAAAGAGTTTTACAGATAGTGAAAAGGAAGCTCAGGTGTTTAAAATCACTGTAATTAGTAATTAAATTACATAAAAAATGTCTGTTTACTTAAAAATAGTCTAGACACGATACCAATATTAATTACAGGTAATCAGGATGATTTTTCCCCATTTTTTTATTCATAAAACCCAGTTACACACCTCTAACTTTTCTCATATATAACATTTGTCACTAGGAAACCATTTTTTTTTTAATTTTGGAAAAAATCTTAATTTTGATGGGTAAACTTGAATTATTAATGTAAAATAAAATAAAGGCATACAGAGAAAAGGCACTACTAAAAATTAACAACTGGATTGCTTTTCATTAACATTTAACCAATCTGAAAATTCAAATATGAACATTACATTTGTAAAACAAAAGCCAAACTTAGTAATAAAACAATATGATGTCAAGAAATTGTCCTGATCTTAGTATAAATAACACTGTTGACAGAGTTCAATTTCTATCAAATGCTTTGGGCATTTTCACAATTTAGACCAAAAGAAAGTATTTTTTTCTTTGAAAGAGACACTGGGGGGAAAAAAAAAAAAAAACACTTTTATGGAATAAATGCTGCCCATCCCCAGAACTGTTGGAATAGAGGCTAGGTTTTGCAGTAAGAGGGGGTCCTGAGAGAGATGCTATATGATGTGGATGGGGAGGGGATTCCTCCAGTTTGGGGATACTTTTACTGTAATCTCGGCTGTCAATGACATTTCAGTTTATAAAAGCCAATGATTACCTAAAATTGCTTTTCCTTTACTTCATAAAAAATAACATTTTAAAACATCATTGCTGAACTTTCAGAGTTAGCGTATGCCATAAAATAAGGAACTGTTTGCCCGTGTTCCTCCTAGATTGTGATCTCCTTAAGGATGTTAATTTAGTATCTGACATAGCAAGTTACAATTATTGAATAAACAAACAAGAAAGGTTCATTCTATTCATTAAAAAGATAGATTTGTATATTTAATTGACAGCAGGTGATTTTATATCAAGCTATCAGTTCCCAGACTCCAAATAAAATCATTGGCATAGAACTTTGCCATAGGCCAAGGAGTCTACATGGCTCGGTCATCCTGCTAAACTATTCGCATTTGATTTTCTTTTCTAAGTGATTTCACATATAACAACTCCATCTCAGTTCTCCAGCTCTTATATATGTTAGATCTGCTCTGTAGTACTAGGAAACCTTTAACAAATGTTTTAAAAACGTGTCAGAAAACAGCTCCAATTTCTTTAAAGTTGCATTGTAAATAAAAATACACAAGTTTAAAACATGCATTAGCAAGCCAGATGTGGTGGCTCACACCTGTAATCCCAGCACTTTGGGAGGCTAAAGCGGGTGAAACATTTGAGCCCAGACATTGGAGGCCAGCCTGGGCAACATGTTGATACCCGGTCTCTACAAAAAATACAAAAATTAGCTGGGCATGGTGCTGCACGACTGTAGTTCCAGCTACTCGGGAGGCTGAGGTGGAAGGATCACCTGAGCCCAGAGAGATTGGGGCTGCAGCGAGCTGTGATTGTGTCACTGCACTCTAAGGTGGGCAATAGAGTAAGACCTTGTCTCAAAAAATAGTAATAAAATATATATTAGCAACTAATCATATGACAGTTCAATAGTTGTGTTTAAGATATAGAAGATGGGAGAGTCGACTCAGGTAACTGAAGAAAGGAGGCAATATAAATGATAGGAGTCAGTGCCTTTTCCCAAATCAGAAAATTGTTAATAACAATCCAGTGCAGTAAAGAGAGCAATTCTATCCTATTAGCACCATTCCCAGATGATGATATGAAGGTAGGGAAGAACCAAACAACATTTAGCCTGACTTACTGTCACCAGCAAACTGATAAGATTTTTTTTTTCTGTTTTTCTAAGTGTTTTTAAAGACTATACGCTTTTTGTATTTTTAAAGTAATACATACTTTAGAAAATCTAGAAATTGTAGGTAAGAATTCGTGAGAACATTTAAATTGTCTATAATTCAATAATGCAGAGACAAAACTATCTGCAGCGTGGTTTATTTTCTTCTAGTTTTTTTCTGTGCATATGTACATTAATTTGAACCCACTTTATACTGTACTATGAGTACAATTCTGCATTCTGTTTTTTCACTTAACACATCAGAAATTCCATATGGTGTGTTATGTACCCTTTAAAAACATAGTGTTCAAGAGCTATATAATACTCTATTATACAGTTTCACCAAAATTTACTTAAAGTTCTCCCACTGTATGAATTTAGGTTGCTTCCAATTTTATGTTTACACAGTTCATAATGAACTAAATGTGGTTTTAACATCTCTGGTTTCCTTTTTTGGAGAGAACTCTAAAATTAGATGTCTAGATCAGAAGGTAGGCACTTTTTAAAAGCTGTTGATACATATTCCAAATTGCTTTCCAAAAAGATTGCACATATTTACATTTCATTCGGTAATTTATAAAGGTGGTTCCTTTTCACCTCCAGCTTTATGCTGCAAGAATATGATGACATCAGTGAGGTACAAATTCATGAAGCATTTTAATTCTTTTGTAATTTACTATTCAACATTTTGTGAAATGCCATAAGTTGAAAGGCTTCAGAGAATGTGTCAAAATATGCTCACAATTATGTTAACTTTTATTTAATCTGAAGTTTAAAGAGCTATAACTATTCTCACCAAACTATGTCCCAATGTGACTTGACTCAGAACTATTGCTCTAGGAGTATAAAATGAAGATAAAAAAAAATACAGAAAAATGATATCTTAGGAAGAATGTAGGATTTGGTCATATGGACCTAAGGAATAAAACAGAATACTGAGAAAGGAAAAGAACTTTTATCTGTAGAATGTGAATCCTTTTAAATTATTAGGCCCGAGGAGGCATTGAAATGAGAGAGTGATCATGTCCTGCTCACCACCTTCATCTCTTGAAACTTCTTGCTATTGCCACAAGTACCTATAAATTAACCTACTATTCCCACTCAGGACACTATAATCCACATCCTAGAGTTTAACAATGTATAAGCAATCAATACTTTTTATGATTTTAAGTAAATTATTGGTAATCAACCCAGAAACTGCCCCTTCATTCCCTTTAAAAATGTACTTGTCACTGCTGCTAATCAGAGTGCATATGCAAGGCAACTTATGTGACAGTGAGTGTCACATTGCTGGTACTCACTTATGCTTACTACCATTTCATGATTATGTTACTGCTATTCGAATTGGGCCAACATGATCTAGAGAAAACTTATAGAAAGAAA